GACGCGTCGTTGGGTCGCCTGTGCACGACACGTGCACGAGCACAAAATTTCACACACACGTTTTTTGCGTTTCGCTTAGTAGGAGGGAGACCCGCGATTATCGCTTTGTCGCGCACGTCTCATTGAAAATGAATGGAGGAGAGGCGATGTGGCCTCCCGTGTGTCGAGCCTATTAGGCTTCCAATAAAATTCCTTTTTTACTTTTACATCCAGGATCCGCCATGATGCCAACAGAAAATAAACTTATTTTGTCTTCTTGTGTTTTTAGAAACGGTCGGTGAACTGAAAAAGCTAACTGCTAGCCTTTAGTTAGCTACCAGCACAGAAAATATCTAACTGTTTAGCAGGTAACTGGTTAATATGCAAAAAACTGCATAGTGTCGCTCAAAGCTTAAAGTAATATTAAACAGTGGCAGCCCAAGGGGGTGGCCGGGGGGGGGGGGGGGAGGGGGCTAACCACCTCTAGAAAAATGATGGCCACCCTACTGTCCCCCTCAGGAAGGTCCACCCCCGTAATAAATCACATTCATGTTCCCAAAAACCATGAACATTAAAGCCAATAAATAGATTTATTTTAAGAGTTAAACTTTATTATTTTAGATAAAACTCTAGAAACAAAACCAGCTCTTTGTGTTTTTGTCAGTAGACTAAACTGGACCGTTGTAAACTTTTAAAAGGATGAGCGCTCTTAGCTCCTGATTTCACACCAGTTAAACCTTAGTTCTGAATAATAGATGGCATCATGAAAGACACTCGCTCGTTTGCTGATGTTGAAGACTTAAAGGGGACCAGCGGAGCGTCTCCAGCAGAGACACTGAAACGTAAATCCTGCATGGCAGCTTGCAGAAGGATAAATGTTTTTGTTGTTGATGTCCACGCGATACTGTAGATTCGTTTTCCTTCCTCTGTACAGCAACGGGACACCTGCTCGCTGTCATTGAGAGGAAGTAACACAAGCTGGTTAAGGAGTGAAGCGACCCCCCAGCAGGGACCCGTTGGGGGTAAAAGAGAAGAAGAAAAGAGCTTCCAGTCGGCTGGCTTTCAACGGACGAGTGGGAAACCGAAGGAGTCATCTCAGCTTCAAAAACAGACTCGGCTGCTGTGGAGGTTTAAAGCTCGGTTCTTGTGCACGTTGGTTTGGACCGACAGTTCTGAATATTTCAAACAACAAAATATCTGATGAAACCCCAAAAGAAGGTGTGTGTTTCGGAGTTTGTGACCTGTTTTGAGTGTGGTGTGTTGGCCTGACAGACGAATGAGTTTTGCGTTTATTGAGTCGCGTCACACGCCTGAACATGAGTCACATGGGAGCTACCTCATCACTGGCTCTGGAGCACCAAACATGCTTCTAAGATTCAGGGACCTCCTACTCTTTAAAAGCATTGGTCCGATCTTCAGAAACTTTAAAGAGCAAGTCACCCCCAAATCAAATTTTTTCTGATAAACTATATAAATGCGTGTCTAATCGTGCTGCAGACACGTGTCGTCAATAGTTTTGCACTTTAGTGCATTTTAGTTCAAATTTAATTTTCTACATAAAACTGTCAGTGATGTGCCGTTGTCAGGTAAAAACTCTGCACTGCATTTGAATTTAAATCTGCCATCGCTATTGACTAAGAGGTACCCTAGAACGTTAGCTGGTACCATATGATGTCACAATGTCGTTGTGAGCCTGTGTGTGTGTATTTGTTAGCGGCTCCACCCTCTCGGTCTGCTAGGCAACAGCATTTGTTGCATTTTTCAAACAGGAAGTGGGATTTGAATAAGAATCTGGTATCAACTTGTTTTTCTGATAAACTATTTAAATGAGTGTCTAATCGCTCTGTAGACACGTTCAGTAAATAGTTTTGCACTTTACTTGATCTTAGTTAAAATTTAAATAATCTGCCTAAAACTGTCAGTGTTGTGCCGTTGTCAGGTAAAAACTCTGCACTGCATTTTAATATAAATCTGCCATCGCTATTGGCTAAGAGATACCCTCGAACGTTAGCTGGTACCATATGATGTCACAATGTCATTGTGAGCCTGTTTGTGTGCATATGTTAGCGGCTCCGCCCTCTTGGTCTGCTAGGCAACAGCATTTGTTGCATTTTTCAAACAGGAAGTGTGAGTGGAGTAAGAATCTGGTAGGGGGTGACTTGCTCTTTAAGGTTTAGCAGATTTTAAAGCAGGGTGTGTCATCTGGAAGACCTGACCCCGGCTACCACCGGACGTGAAACGTACTTCCATTCCTATCTACCGGCAGCAAAATGTCACTTCCCAGAAGCAAGGGGACGCTATCACTCTGTGTACACTCTGTGCTTCACGAAAGCAGTGGAACATCTGGAAACTTTCAAAATAAAAGTCACATGCAGAAAATGCACACTACGAAACCTCCGTAGTCAATGTAAACAGAGCAGAAAGTACACCACAGACAATTTTTGGATACATGCAGCTGTCTTTCTTCTTGCTTGTGTGAAATTCTGAAATCACACGTAGTGTTGCAATTCTCCCGTGATTTTGTGCCTGCAGGGCCAGCGGCATGGAACACTTTTGCTCCTGTTTTGCGGCTAAATCACTCCTGGTTGGAAGGGAGCTTGCGGTTAAAACGCGTCTAAGCTGCTTTCAGGTCAGGTGGAAAGTCAGCACTAGAGTAGCCTTCATGTCCATCATCAGGGACTCTGGAATAAGATTAGAGGATCATTTTTGTTCAAAATCCTTAAACTAGCTGACAATTTGTTCATTTTAACTCAGCGTCTTAAATATAAACATACTTAAAAAAATCAGTTTTTAGGTATTTTTCAAGTGAACGGATACAAAGATTAGCAGGAAAAAAACATTTTGCTTATCTGGTGTAAAGCTGACGTCTCTCCTTAGCTTTAGTTTAGCCGGTGTTTTATAAAACTGTTGGGATCATTTGGGAACTTTTATGTTTTATTTTGCGTTACACGTCAATGCAACTTTTATTTTATTTATTTTCCTCGTTTCATTATTTGCCTGATCCTAATCCATATGTGAATTCTGCCCCCTGGTGGAGGATCTAAGTACTACATGTTCAAAATTACTTTATTTTTCAGTCTCAAATTATTATTTATAATTACACTAATATGTTTTTATTGATTTTTTAAAATAGACATCTGAATCGACAATGTCTTATTAAAACAAACCTATGTTAAAAATTTCTGAAATTATCTTTATTTCAACAAAAAGTTAAGATTTTTACCTTACGGTTAATTTTGTTGATTTTAAATTATTATTACCTTACATTAAGTTATGTTCCTTATTGATCACCAGCAGCTTTAGAGTTTTATTGAAGTTTTGGTTTTCGGGTTTGTCGTTTTATTCTGCGCCCAGGCCAAAGGCGGTGGACTTACTAAAACATGTTTTCCTCTCAAAGGAATCTGAAGATGCTTGAGTGCAACACGTCTGCAGAATGTCACGGTTGGACGACACCCTGTGGTAGAAATGACATGTGAAACAACAACCCAGGTCAGGTTTAGCATCAGCGGTAAATCAAGGCAAATAACAGTAACAATTGTTTTTTTAAGTATTCCATGTTGAAAATAATATCATGTCAGATGGTATTTTATGTGGCAAATACGTTTGATTGGTAACCATGGCAACTCTAGTCATGAGTCCCTCATCTTCAAAGATGAGGGACAAAAAAATATTTTATCAGTTAAAAAATGCAAAAAAAAATTTTTATCACGAATCTCATGTTTGCACAAATAAAAATAAGCTACGCCTACAGCAGCATATCAGTAAAAATGTGATCAAGAAGAAGAAGAAGAAGAAGAAAATATCATTTCTGTAGCGCCTCTCAAGATAAAAATCACGAGGTGCTTCATAAAAACAAAAAGTTAAAATATAAAAAAGCATTTAGAAAATGTTTAAAAATATATTTAAAATAAGCAAAAATAGACAATTGTGATAAAAAAAATGTTAGGAAAGAGAGAGAGTGAACAGGAAAGAGGGAAATCGGTGGATCCTGAGGAAGGTGCAATAGGTGGGGAGAGCAGAATAAAGAGAGAGAGGTGAAGAAGGTCATACAAAAGCCAGCTTGAACAAGTGAGTCTTCAGCTGCTTTTTA